GCCTTTCTTGTTCGCGATGTTTCATGAGCGTCTCGGACATTCTTTGAGCGTAAAACCTGCCCTGTTCTGAAAGGTCTGCGTCTGCTTTGTAAGAGTCTTCTTCGGTTGTTGTGCCCGCACGGGCAAAGAAAGTGGTCCGTGATTTGATGTGAAGGTTGGTAAGGTAAAACACGATTCTGTGAGACAAGTAGTTGAAGCTAACGTTGTTGTAGAAGAACTTTTCTCCGGCGTTGATCATTTTGATATAGTTGAGTTCCGTCTCGTCCATGGTTTCGAATACCGGGATCCTCATCTCTATTCTTTTTAAGTACATTTTTGCTGCTTCTTCGGGGTCCATTCCAGCAAACTATAATCATGGTTAATATCGAGAAGGGGGAACAATGATTTTGTGCTACTTGAGATGCTTACATCGGGTGAGGAAATCTTGACGTTGATGGCGTTGTCATGCAAAATTTGTTCATCGTTCACATATGATTCGATAAATAAAGTCTATAAGAGTGTTGCTGTCAATAATGGCAAAACGAAAACAGGCACATTGAAAACAATTTGCTAGATTCCTTACCTGGACGTCGTGCTTTGCAAACTCCTTGGCCAAAGAACGTCTTCCACTCGCCGTTGGGTTGACCGCATCGTATATAGCAACCTGGCCGTTTTCATGGTTCAACCAGGCATAGATATCTTCACGGCACTTCTTTAGAATCTTTTGGCGAAGTATGACGGATGACGGGGAAGCATCAGGGAAGAAGTAATCATCGGGAAGCGTGCCATCGGTGCCAATGGTTGCTCGGCGGTAGTCTCCCAAGTGGAAAATACGAGTCTTGACGCCAAGCCATTGGAGATAGCGTGCCATGGATACACAAATGTGTCTACCGTTTGTTAAATTTTGCCTTGAATCTCAGCAATGTATGCTCATTTCACTTACGTCTTGCCTCGAGCAGGCGGCCCAACCATGACAATGGCGATACGACCAGAATGAAACAGCCGCCCAGACATGGTACTGTAAAGCTGGGCAGGGGCCATATCATTATCTTCCGACACATCGTGAATACTATCGATAAAGGTTGAGCTCCTCCGGCGGTACCGGGGAGCGTTTGCCGCAATCTCAGCGGTACTAGAGTCCGTTTCGGTCAGTCCCATTTCCATTATTATTTAATTTCCAATTTTCGCGCGTAGATGTAAACGAAAAGTGATAGAAAGTCAACCAATATCCAAGGCCACATATAGCGGATAAGTATGAAGTGGTCAGGATTGGTTGGATCAGGGGCAGGGGTTAAATAGGAGAAGCGAATGGGCCAGGAGTGAGACGCTTTGAATGGCATCGCCATGACAGCTTGTACGCTCCAGTTTATTCCCATATGAGAAGCAGCACGCGCAGGCAACTTACAGCAAGGTATCCATTTTGCCGGCTGAAATCAACAAGCGGGTACTTGGATGATTTCACCGAAACTTTGTCAGGTTCCTTGGGAGCTCGAATTCCGGAAGAGATGTAATTGTGCTTCTATAATATCCGAGGTCAACGGGAGGATGATTTTGCAAGAGTCCGAGTTCACTGAGACGTGATAATATACCCCAGCGCGTCTGTTGAAAACTGGGAGATCTCAGCCGACCTTTGATGCGGTGAGATATGCGAGATGAGATCCGACCTATCTCAGCCTCGCGCCCCGCTTTCCGGGTATGATGACACCACTGGGATCCAGACGAAAAGATGCTTGTAATGGCCAAAGACTCCCAGCTCCAGCCGACCAGACAACGATGAAGCTTGTTGGAAACTGCGACAAGGGCAACAGGCGCTTTTGATGCTTTCGGGAGCCGCACAGGCGGATATATTCGGTTCTAGGGTACTGATTTGACGGATGCAAAATGAAGAGGCCGTTCATGCATGCAAGGGGGGCGCTACGGGCACTTACGGGAGGTACACTCAGAGAAGGGCCCAAGTACCTGTTGGGGTACGTACCCCAGGTACCTCTCGACACACGACCACAATATGGGAATTGAAGTTCTTGACAGTCAGTAGTGCATTTTACCCCACCATCCCTCATTGACTATTTCCATCATGCCAAGGTAGCAGCTGCCTGTAAAAGAGAGGCCATTGACGTAGCACTGGATATATTCATATAATTCGGAAAATAAACGTGGTGTTTGATATAGTCGGTAAATATTAATAGAAGAAGTTACGCGGTGCCTCTGTGTTATGAGAGAGGTAGTAGGTACATTCCAATGCACAAAAGCAACACACTCAACAAGTACTGCGATACATGCCTTCAAGCAGCCACGTGCCCACAGCCACCGGCACGGATTATCGCACCGTCCGCTCACAAAAAAATCGCTGCAAAGGCTCTACTCGGCTGCGTCACAAAGTGGCTCGTGCAGCTCCCGCAGGCTACTGTACGTACTGGCAAACTGGGTCGATTGAAAATTATTCTCAACGACTCCATCCCATTATAGCCGCCTTCGGAGCTCGACCACTGTGGCAAAGCCAACATCCGCGACCGAGGCTTGCCTGAGGCCTTGGATCCCTTTCATCCAGACATCGTCACTGAGACTCTCTGACCAGCGAAGCGACCCGGTCTCTTCTGCTCCATCTCCGGTCCCTCTCTTGTCCCGTTTTTTCCATCCGCTCGGCTCAAGAGCCGCCACATAGACCGGCATCATGGCCACTCCCGTCGACACATTGCGGTCCATCATATTCTCCAACCCCGTCGCCGCGACAATAGGAGATGCGCTCAACTACTTCTCCGAGCGGAGGGCAAAGCTCGGCCTGTCCAACCCCGGCACAATAGAGGCTCTGTCCAAGGAAGTCCAGCGCGATGTCTTCCTCAACAACTACATGTTCACCGGCATCCGCGCCGACCTCACAAAGATCTTCAGCATGGCGCCGCTGTTCCAGGTCTCTCACCAGTTCGCAATGGGTGAACGCATCAACCCTTACACCTTTGCCGCCATGTTCGGCACCGGCAAGGTAAGCAGCGTCGCATTGGCCGAGCCCGCACCACGGAACTAACTCGGAGCTCAATTAGGTCTTCTGCCAAGGCAACGTTGACAACGAAGGCTCCCTCTCCGGCCGCTTCAACTACCGATGGACCGACAAGCTGGTTTCCAAGTCTCAGCTCTCCATCTCCCCTGGTGGCCAGGACATGGCCCAGTTCGAACACGAGTATACCGGCGATGACTTCAGTGCGTCTCTCAAGATGCTTAACCCCTCTTTCCTCGAGGGCGGCATGACTGGCATCTACATCGGAAGCTACCTGCAATCTATCACCCCCAAGCTCGCTCTCGGTCTGGAAACCCTCTGGCAACGCCCTGCTCTGACTCAAGGTCCCGAATGTGCCGTCTCTTACTGCGCCCGATACAAGACCCTCGACTGGGTCGCCACCGCTCAATTGCAGGCTGCTATGGGAACTCTCAATGCTTCGTACTGGCGCAAGCTGTCCGATAAGGTTCAAGCTGGTGTTGACCTGAGCCTCGGTCTTGTCCCATCTCCCGGTGGTCTGATGGGCGGCGGCCTGCAAAAGGAGGGCGTCACCACCATTGGTGCCAAGTACGATTTCCGCATGTCCACTTTCCGAGCTCAGGTCGACTCCAAGGGTAAGCTGAGCTGCCTCCTGGAGAAGCGCGTCGCTCCCCCCGTCATGATGACCTTTGCTGCCGACATTGACCACTTTACGGTATGTGATTCCCGACCCCAAGACAACATCCCATCCCATAACTAACTGTTCGGATAGCAACAAGCCAAGCTCGGCCTCGGTGTTTCGATTGAGGCTGCTCCCGAGGAGCTCCAAGACCAGCAGGAGGCTCTCGGCGCCCAGTCTCCCCCCAACATTCCGTTCTAAACAGCCACAACTGGAAAATCCCAGCACAGCGCAGATTCCATGATCGGATCTTGGTTAATAGACAACTAATGTAGTAGGACTGCTGGCCAACCAAGGACGAGTAATTCATGTCTTTTTGCCGTCTCACTCACGACTTGTCTGATTATTAAGGAGAAAAAAAAAAGAAAGAAAAAAAGAAAAACGAAAAATCTTCCACCGTTGTTATTCGATGACTCTTTCAATCTCTACAAAAATCAGTAGAGAAAGAAATGAAAACAACGGGGAAACCAAAAAAAGGAACACTCCTCCCTTTTCGATAGACTCTACGAAGCCCTTTCTCATGGCAGGGTTAGGCCATGGCTTTCACAATGGGGGAAAAGCACGCGAGGAGAGGGGGAGGGAGGGAATGAATGAAGGGGAGAGTTAATGTGACTCATGACGGTGGCTCTCTCAAGTCTTTTTGGGGGGGCGCTATGCCTCAAAAAATGCATACATCTCAGCTTACAGTGCATTCTTTTGCATATTGCCCCCCGTGTATATTAACTTATTCCAAGACCGGTGCACTCGTGTATTGGGCTCGGGCGAAATGGGCGGCATGTTAAAGCATTTTGGGATGTCGTCAATTATGGATGGGATGGGATGGCTACGTTGCAGGGAATCCAAAAAAAAGGAGGGGGGAGGGGGACTGGAGTTAGTATGGCATATTGGTCAAAGGCCCAGTCTTAAGTGCTTGCTTTTCATGCTGAATGTACAAGAGAGATAGAGAAATGACGAGCTTGAATGTAATGCATTGACGAAGACACACTGTGGAATGCGAGCACAGAGCTCATATATAAAATATTGAAGACTGACTGTAACTAATTCCTTTGAATCACTGTTTCCCGCCAAAACAACAAGTTTCCCACCCACCAACGCCGTGGTATCTCTGTTTATAAAGTTGCCTTGTTTGTTTTTCTCTTTTTGTGTCCCCCCCAGAGGATATTGCCAACCATGCAAACCCTCGTTATATGTATGCCCAAGTAACGTGAACATCACGATTCTTTCACTCAAGCACAATGACCACGCTGGCTGTTGAAAAAAAATTGTATCCAAGTCAAAGAAAAGTGCCCTTCGTCCTGCTATATGCTCCGAACCCATAATGTTGTTTTGGCCCATTGCAAACAATAATTGCATCTAAAGCCCGAGAGTGCATCACATCACCACACACTCCCGCTCTGGCTGATCCCCCGATTTCTGTTTTTCATTTTTCTCTTTGGACTTTTTCCTCTTGTGCTTGTGCTTCTCAGCCTTCTCTATCTTTTCAGATTTGTCATTTCTATCCAGCTTGTCCTGCTTCTCAATGCTGGTGGGGTGATGATGCAACTGCTTTTCCAGTGATGTGGGCGACCCTGGCTGGGGACTTGGCTGTCCTGTTGAGCTTGCCGTTGAAATGTTCAGTGCTGGTGGCTCTGGCAGCGGCTCTTTGTTTGTCTTCATCAGCCCGCCAAAGCGACTCAAGTTGAGACTGATGCGGCCCTCGCCCGATTGACTGGCCGGGCGACTTTGTTTGCCCAAATTGAAGCGCGATGCGGCACGCGATAACCTTGAGGTCGTTGGTTCGTCAACCGGCGGCATGGCAGGCGACTGGGCATCGGGAGTTATGGATGGCGTATGAGCAGCAGAATCGGTATAAGCCAAGCTCTGGCGGCGCGAGATGACCGACTCCACGTATGAGCCACCAAAATTCATGCTAATACCTTCGAGCCACTTGCGGGATGGGCGCTCAACTTCTGCGGATAATCTGATGCTGGGTGGCTTGCTTTGCCCTAGACGACCCGTTGAAGCTGATGCTTGATGTTCATGATGCGTTGCCAATCCTTGGGTGGAAGAAGAGGCTTTGTGCTCGTGGTGTGCTACCAGTGCTTGAGTGGACGCTGAGGCTTGCTGTTCATGATGGGATATTAGGGCTTGAGTAGAGGCCGATGCCTGATGCTCATGATGCGATACTAGTCCTTGGGTCGAACTAGAGGGTGTTTCATCGCTAGTTGCCGAACGCAGTATCTCAAGGCTATTCTTTGACTCGTCGTAGGACGGCGGCCTACCCTCTGTGCTTTCTGTTGGACAAGGTGCGTCGACCATGGGTACGATCTGATAGAACAGTAGGTACGGCATCTCGACCTTTAAAGATTCTTTTATGTCGTCGACAAACGTGACTCGTTTGCCGATATCTAGGTCATCAAACCTCACCCATTGTGCCTCTTCGTAGTCTGGCGGTGGATCGAAATCATGCCTTCTGTTATCCGTGAGAAGCTTCGGGGCAATCCTGGCAAAGGAGATGTAGTGGCCACTCTGTAAAGAGTCGCCTCTGTGGCAGACAACGGATTGCAGAACAAGCTTGTACTCTGTCGCTAACCCATTAGTCTCCTCTTCTATGTGCGGGCCATCAGCGAGCATAAAGTGAGGAAGTCTCATGCTCTCGGGAATGTCGATGTAAGTGTTGTGCCGCTTAGGCTGGCCAGACTCAGTCATGGCGTATCGCTTCAAGCAAATGCCTACCACCGGGCGCTGATCAAGATTCATTGCTACTTCGACGTTGTTCCGAGGCTCGGTGCTGTTGACTGCGTGCCAGGCTGTGTGCGATGTTAGTAAAGGGGAATCGACTAATACGGCTTGTACGTACGAATTAAGCGGAAGAATTGCCATGCAGGTATGGTAACCGCTTTGATGACAGTGGATCCTTTCAGACTGAGCCTCTTGCGTATGTTCTCGGAACTGGCTGGGCGGCCTTTGTCATCAAGCATTACTCGTTGAATGACGCTGGTTGACCTATTCCTAGCCATCATCTGGGAAGAAGACGCCTCTGCTTGACTGCCCGCGGCAGTTGATTGTGATACATCGCCAAGAGTGCTGTTCTGACTCGTTCCGTTGACTTGCTCTGCTGACGAAGCTTCTCCATCGTCTTTTTTCTCTTCAGGGTTTTCCTCAACCTTTTCCTCGTCAAAATTCTTCTCCTCAGCCTTCTTCTCCTCAGCCTTCTTGCCATTGACTTTTTCTTCTAGTTTTTCTTTGATTTCTCCCTCCTCGTCCTTTTCTAGAGGAACATCTGGCAGTGGCTTCGACGGCGACATCTCTATCGGAGATAATGTTACGACTGCAGGTGTCGCGGCGCTTTCTCCATCTCTAATCAACTGAATCTGGTTGGGAATTAATAGCTGAGAGGGCGAGCTTGGAGTACCGTCCTCCGCAATCGACAACTTCTTTGCCTCCTCGCTGTCTCTGAGGACGTCAACCTGGGTGTTGAAATATTCCTCTAGGCAATCTTCTAGCTTAATACCGTTACCCTCAGAATCTGATGGTACTGCTAAATTCAATAATCTCTCATAGACGATTTTGTGGTCGTCCTTATCGAATTTGCCTTGATGAAACAGATCAACCTGTAGTGAGAGGAGAGGTAATTCTAGCTTTTCCGTGAAAAAGGCAAATGCTTCAGAGGTGTCTTGCTGTTCTAAAAGGCGAGCTTCTGGCCAGCCGCATTCAGCCATGGAATCTTGTATTAGTTTAGTCTAGACACGTTAGTAAATTGTGTACTCCTCAGATTGGAATTTGTCACTGCTCACCAAGTCTGTACGAATCAACTTGCCCGACCGTAACATGTTGACCCATATGCGCAGAAGCACGACGAGTCTATGCCTGGGGTCATCCTCCGGGAAATTGGTTTTGAGCATGCACTCAAAGGCGTCCAGCTTAGAGAACATGGCGAAGAGAAGGGAGTCTATATAGCAGGTAACGGCACTGCGGTTTTCGGCACCAACCATCTGGACACTCGGGTCGTAGGGTAAAATAACTCCAGAAGAAGACTTTTTTTCAATATCGATAAATTGGACAGCGCGTTCTGGGTCTCCATCGACGAATTTGGTCCCCAAGATATCTCGGACATGCTCTTCGGTGATGTTCATAATGTGCAATTGATCCAAACGTCGCTGGATATCCTCAATCTACCAAGTGTCAATGCTTATTTGGATCGAAGTCGAGACGCTCGCTAGTAAAAATGGCGGAGAACATAGTGCAACACACCTTGGCGACCTCTCTCGCAGCTTCCACCTCATTTTGGTGGGTTTGTTTCGCATGGTCGGGCTTGAATATGGAGCGAAACGCTTCTGCTGAGAGGGGACGGGCCTGCCAGTGATGTTTAACATTGCCGAACCAAGAACGACGTACTATGTGTGGTTCGGGTGGTTCCGCCATGGCATCCCCATGTTGCACAAGGAGTTTGGCTGGTGACGGATGGAAAGAGATTTACCTTGTTTGCGGGAGGAGCCGACTTGCTACGATGATGCTCGCCGCTCTTATCCCGCAGGCTAAGAAACTTCCTAGGAAATTCCTTCATTGTTCGTCGATGATGGCCAGAAGCCCGATGACGAGGCGAAAAAGTAGGGCAGGTGGGAATCAAGCTCTCGCGGCGACGAGCGAGAGATGAGGCGTGCGGTGCGCCCCCATTATAGGGCGAGACAAGTCTCGGCGAGGGGTTTGCGCTGGCGGGGCTGGATGGATTATGACGATGGCTTCTTGTATATCAAAGTTGCTTTTTCTTCAGCCTGATGCTCACTCTTCGTCGTCGGCAGCTACTGCGCGAGGTATCGCTACCTGATCGGATTCGGGTCGGACAGCCTAGCTCGAGGGGAAACGGTGCGCCGCAGACGTAGATGGGGAGCAACAGCCGCAGTCTAAAGTTCAGAGGCTTGTCGATAATAGAACTTTCTGGGCAGTGCAAGTGGACGAGGAAAGATGACGGAGGTTGCGTTGCGCAACTCCATCAAACGCAACTCGAGTGGTTCCAGGCGCAGCTTCAAATAAGGTCCGGTCGGCAGCAAAGTGAGTGCTAAAGTTAGTGGTTCGTGTTGGCTGATGTTACAGTGGCGGGGGCGGGACACTGGGTGGACCCGGTTTTGCCAGGGGCTGATAGTGGGCTGTAGGGACCTAAGGAGCGCTATAGCGCGGCGCGATACTGCAGCGAGGTGGCACCCTGCGACAGCCCATCGAACCCTCGCGGTGGCATTGAGAGATTTATAGATCGCTGCCACCTGCAGACTTTGCACATGCATCGGTAGTCTAATGGGATTCATGTTGCTACCTTACTATGTAGGCACTATTACTACTCGTAGTCTACTTGGTGCACGAAATTCTCTTCACGCATCGCAGCGGGATCCGCAATTGACCTTATCATGGCTTGGCACCAATCATCCGCGCCTTGTGAATCAACATGCACCAGCAAAAAGGCATCGGGCTTCGCCTCAGAACCGCCAGATCCGCATACACGGCTGCCTTGATCGACTGGAAGCTGAAATGACGGAGCGCCTGTGCGGTGCTAAGGCGGCCTTTTGCCATCCCTGCGTTCTCGTGCCTCGTCAAACTGACTATTTGCGGCGGCCTCGTGGCCTGCGTACGAAATGCCTACGTAATTCTGCCAACAGCGCTCAAGGCAGGCGATATTCGACCATCATAGCGTCTACGCACATGTACGGACTTCTAAGCAGCTCGTTCATCTCCACATGCAAGTCATGTTACCTGCCTACCAAAGTATCAAGTCTTCTCTGAGTCGTGTGCGGAAGAGGCGGGCTACAGATCTTGGCGGGCGAGGGGGATCACAGGAGGGGTCTTTTACTAACAATTAGGGCGATCTTTTGAAAGATTCGGTCAGCTAAGGCAGTCAGGGTACATGTGCTATATTTACTCCCGTCACGAGCCTATCCAAAACCTTCTGGGTACCTAGCTACCTAATGTGAGCTTTGAGCCTGGGCTAGTAAATACATGTACAACCTAGGTAGTAGGTAGCCAGCCCAAGTTTTAGTACGGTATCAAAAGGATGGCGTACTTCAGCTCCGGAGTGGCTGATGCTTCCTCCCAGCCATTTTATCTTTTTATATACGTATGAGATGTTTTGGAGTTTCATGTCTTGATACCGGACAAATGTCACCGTTTGTAGCAGATCATCATAAGCGCTTAAGTAGGGTATTTCACCCTGGGTCAAGACTCCAAGTGAGTGCTGCTCCCAGCAGAAAGTACCTACATGGTAGCTTCTGATCTTTCTAGCCCGAATCGCCTCTGGGTCGTACTGGACGAAGAAAAGTTTCTGCGCGAAAGCAGAGTTCCAAGGACTTGTATGAATCATCACCCTTCGCCTGCAGGTGGTACTGAGCAGATACGTACTACAGTATGCTGAATGTCAGCAGCTTTCAGCCCTCATGGCGTGACAGAATACGTCGAATCAGCAGAAGGAATACAAGGAGCTGCTCAAGTCAGGCGGCTTAGCAGGGGCTAGTCTCAAGGGGCCACCGAAGATGGGCGAACCAGAGGGTCAAAGCACGATGAGCCTCTTGTTGTGTAATCCTATCCACTATCTACGGGATACAGGGCTAGGATCTGTTACTGATTCCATACTTTGATACGAACTGCCAAAAGTAGCCCATAGAGTTGAGAGACCACTTCCTTTGCTGACTTACACATACTGAATTGCCAAGCATCTACCTTAGTAAGTGAGCTGAGTACCAGATATCGAACAAGATCACTCCATTGTCAACCCAGTCTCCCCCTTTCAACCGAACATAGCTTAATAATCAGCTATAATGATCAGTTTCGACTGGCTTTGACGCGATTTCAACTTATCGACGCCGAGATCCTTGAGCTGGCTTTGTACTTGTGCCTCTATATCTGTAGGGGATTTTGCACCGCCACATACCCGCAGATGCGAACGACCATGGTGTGGCGCAAACCCTGGCGGGACTAGCCTGTGGCTGGTGCCCCCAGCAGCTAGCAATTGGAAAATTCCCATTGTCTCGAGATCGTGGTGGGCTGTAGAGAAAGACATCTCGGACGAAGCATTGCGTCTTTTGCTCAGGCGACAATGGCGGTCTCTCGAGAAGGCGCTCGCCTGGCAAGAGCCTTGAGGCAAAAGCTGGCAACCAACCAATCTATTCCGCTATGCGCCAGAGGATTTGCCTCCACCAGGGCGGCACACAATGCCTCTGTGAAGGCAGATGGCATCGCCGATATCGAGTCGACATCTTCGTTTTCAGCGCCGCAGCCCGACAAGAACATCGTTAATGCTTTTGAGGAATCTCAGAGCCAAAACCGAACCGGAAGGAGGCTCCCTGGTAACCGGTGCGTGCTGCCCTCACATGCTCATGTGGGCAAAACCATGCTAATACGAACCTCAGATACCAATACCATCCTCCCAAGTATAATCGAGGTCCTCTCCATCCAGTCCAGGCGCCGCCTTCATCCGATCCCACGGCGCGAGATTTCGTTCCTGGACCGTTCAGCTTCCCTCGCTTGAAGCACACGTACGACAGCACCATTGCGCCAGACCTAATGACCCTCACATACAACCATACTCCTCCCGGGACTGTACCAATTGAATCGAAGAAGGGAGTGCTGCGCCAGTGGGACGGATCTTCGCCATATCACAAGAATCGACCTAGCAGAGGACCAAGAGGTGGAGGCTCATCGAGGCTTGGAATATTAGAGCGGGACATCGCCTGGCACAACATTCCCGAGATCGAGGCTGTCACCATTAACTCATATGCTCCTCTGGCTGCCGACAACAAGGAGTATCTTCATGTCGCCCGAGCTGTGGTCCAAGCCATCAGCGGCCAGTTCCCCGAGGTGACGACTGTGAAACACAATGTCATCCACTGGGGCGTCCGAAAGGGATCAAAAGCCGGTGCTAAGACAACCCTCCGCGGCGCTGCGGCCTACGACTTTGTCGACAAGCTGGTGACGCTGGTTCTGCCCAAAATCAAGGACTGGCCGGGCATTAAGGCTACCAGTGGTGACAGCGCGGGCAACATTGCGTTTGGTATGAAGCCTGCCTGGATGTCTTATTTCCCGGAGATTGAGTTTAACTACGATGTGAGTATAGTCCAGACAGAATAGCCCGGTTGCGAACTCCAAATACTGACATTTGATGATAGATGTATCCTCCTAAGCTGATGCCTGGTTGCCATATTTTCATTCACACCTCTGCTACCTCGGATAGACAGGGCAGGCTGCTCATGGAAGCATTGGGATTCCCTTTCTACGGAAAGATTACACATTGATGAATATCACGTCGACGACATCATTTGGCAAATACTAAAAAAAAATAAGTGGGGGAATATAAAAAAAATTGTACAACACATGTATCGTTAAGAAAAAGACTCTAACCGTTAGATACAATTGTATGAATATTGTAGGATATCTCTACATGCAAGTCCATATCAGTTGATCCATCCAAGACCTACAAAACGCCCAACTCCGCCCAATGTCCCTTTTCTATTGGAGCTGTTTTAAAACGCTACACCTCAAGCCGAAGCCGCAACGGCGGCATTCTTGACCTTTTCCCTGAGACCGTGGATGACAACATCAACAGCATCCATGTCGGCGGCGTCAACTTTGGTCGCTGTAAATCCTCGCTTGTTCAACTCGTCCGTGCAGAGATCCATGGAAGGCTGGTAATTCCTGACGGCAGAGCTCAGCGCATAGATTGCTTTGCGTCGAACGTCCTCGGCCTCGTCCTCCTTCAGCGCCATCTCAACAAGAGGCGTAAGCCCCCCCATGGCCAGCAGCCGCTCCTGTGTGCGCTCGTTGTTCTGGACAGCCGTGCCGACGCACCAAGCCGCCATCTTGCGCAGCTCACGCTCCTGATTGCTCAAGTGCCCAAGCAGCGGGGTCCACAGATCAAGGTTGGCGATGTTGTTGGCGTTGTCGAGGTTCTCAATGAGTTGCTCGAAGTTGTCAAAGGCGATGAGCTTGTTCTCCAGGCTGACCTCGGGATCGTTGATGATCTCCATGGAGCCCTTCATGAGGTCGGCATCGGAGGGGCCGCCCATGAGAGCGGCCATAAGCTCCGGGGTGAGGTTGGTCGGCGGTGGTAATTGGGCGTCAGTGGAGGGGCCATTGGGAAATTCGGTGCTCTCTGTGTTTTCGATGCTCCATCGCAGGAGGTCGTTGAGCCGCTTGTCACCCATCGTAGTGTATTGTTTGGCTTAGCGAGAGTGCGTGTGGGTAATTCTGTAATGAAGAGGATAAAGGGATATGGAGCGCTCTCTACTGCTTTTGATGCTGAAATTGTTTCTACACCCAGTAGTCCTCAGATTTTCGCTTGTGGTAATGCAGTTTCTGGAAACTTCAAGAAGTCTCTAGGCCGCATAGGGACTAGCGTCGCAAGATGCTGGTAAGGCTACTCCTTACAGTGCAGCCTTAGCCTTACGTGGATTCTATCCCGGCCAAACCGAGAACCTGATCCTCAGCTTCACGTAGAAGGTAATTAAACTGTGAGTGAGCCCAATCTCCGATGATTAATGACTGGAAATTATATCCTCAGTTTCAGCTGCTCACAGGATCCGCGGCCTTCTGTTTGAGTCGGAGAATTAAGGCTGCTACTCCATAAAACAGCTTAGGGATTGAACGAAACGCTACCCCACTTGTTCATCTCAGATGGTGGCTTGTATTCCGTACTGTCCATCAAGACATGATCACACATGGTGATGTGTGGCTCAGATTGAAGCTGATACTATCATTAGAATTCGGCCCCTCGGGTCTCCATCACCGCAGCCTAGCATGAATAACGTCATGGACCCTCCAATAGTACTACTAAGATCTCTCTAGGAGCACAAATAGAAGAGCAGTAGCGGTATCTAGCTTTCTGTTGACACCGCCGAGTGCAAAAAAAGAGATGCCTGGATGGTCTCAAAGATTATGAGATCTGACAGGTGACGTAGCGTCAAGACCATCTTTCAGCTGAGTTCAAAGGGGATACTGGCAAAAATACCTTATGCTGTGCTCAGTGGTACAATTACAGGTATTACTCCATCGTCATACAGGGTCCTGGGTAGGCAGATGAATACAAACCAGTGTCTGGGGGGGATTTGGAAACATCCAAGCTAAGAAGGGGCAACGCCAAGTGAATCTGCCTGTTTCTCTGCTCGCTCCAAAATAGCAACCACGCGTTGCTGAGCCGAGACAGTCTCAGAGGTACCGCAGCCTTGCCTCGCCTATTTCCTCCATGTAAAGAGCCGTCCCCTCTGGACCAGCCCATCTGCAGCAATCCGCGCCATGCAGCTCTAGATCTCCCGAAAGATCTTGATCCAGTGCTCCAGCTAGGGAGCATTTGCATGCCTCCATGAAGCTAACGGCGACGCTGTCTGATACCCTACACAGTTTAAACCACACCCAAGATGACTTATCCACATACCTCACGTGATGCGACGGAGTAGATACGAGCTGCTGGTGAGCTTAGGGCGGCAAGGGCTCTAGCCTTGTCGGGCCCGGCCTGAGGTTGTCGTGTCCCTCCTCCGCTTCCTGCACAGCGACGTGTTGGCGCGGCCAAATGAGCTTGGCTGGGGAAATTTGATAGGAAAAGGGGGCTAAAAACCGTCACCAGCTCTTTGGTGTGCTTCTGCTTACTGGCACCTGCTCGGCGACTCTGGATGCGAGGCCTGATTACGCATTCAATAGGCGGATAAATCTGGGGATTTGGAATGCAAGATGCCTAAAGCAAGATTTGAATGCTGCTGCCTCCAAACCATGGACAAAGGGCGTGATAATCTCTCTGCCTAACGTGGAATGAATCAAGCTGATGTCTCATATTGAGACCCTGCACAAAGGGCCAGAGCACGGGGTACACGAGAGATTGAAAGCTCATCAAAGGGCCCCCTCGGCATGCTACCAACAAAGAGCTTTCATGATGTCAATCAGCAGCCAGAGTCCGGAGTACCTTAGCTGCTTAGGTAGAGAACCAGCCACACATTGGACCCCCTTATCGGCTGTCATCAACCACAGAAGGGGGGCCCGTCACTCGGGAGAGCCTCACAAAAGTGCCCCTCCCAGAGCATCAATCCCATTCCTGGCGTGTAGTCTATGTGCGGAATCTCGGAGCCTGGCGGTTTGAGACAAGGCAAGGCGGCGAAGTTTTGCTCTTGGATTCTCAGCCTTGGTGGATTGCGTACTGGGACGCGTACATGCGTTGCTTTGTGCTGTATCTCGTTGCCTCGACTAGCTCAACCCGGCGTCAATCCCCATGCCCGGATGGTAGCTCAACTTCAACTGCTGGTGAGCGATCAGGCGGTCTTTATCCTCCAGCTAGCACCAATGCAATTGGCGGTGGATGTGCTTACAGGCAATGGAGCAAGTTGCAGCTCGACACAGCTGGGGGCAAAAGGTGACGATGGCGTTGATCTGGCGGTGCAGCCCCTCCCCTCCCCACTGGGCAGATACCTTACTGTACCGCCTAAGGGGACCTAAGGGGACCTAAAGGAGACCTAAAGGAGGTCGATGGAGAAGCGTGAGGAAGACGTTAGTGGCACGCTGATGCGTACGAGTACTTTGTAGCCCCAGCCACAGCCACCGCCATGAGCCAATCGCTTAAAGCGGCAGGCAGCGCTGCCATCCCCTGTTGGGCGGCCGCGCCGGTACTCCGTGGCCCGCGCAAGGTTCCTCGCACAGAGAACGAAGCGCCGCCGGTACCTAGGCCCGGGCATGGAGTACTTTGAGCTAAGGCGGTCTCGCCCTGGTTCGCCGCCTCCCACACAGGCTGCTCCACCACGCAATTGTCCCGCCCACAACTCTTTGCCCATCGTGGCAGCGGAGATACTTACTTCCCTCCTTTCCTCCCCCTCCACTCTTTCTACTTCTTCAACAGCACCCACCCCCCAATCGCCAGCTTTCGACTGCGTGTCACCTTAATATTTCCTCACTTCGACCTCTTTCTTCCCCTTCAAGCTAACCCTCGAGATCCTGGGATCGCGCGAGCTTCTTCTTTGTCTCTCTTCAAGTTTTTCATCAGCTTCATACATTAATCAGTCACAATGGAGGGTACGTGCACCTGCTCCCAAGCATCGCGTCCAGCCACCTGGTGCCAAGGCCAATGGATTGAAGCATCGCGAGGATGCGTTTGACGCTTGACACGACTTGGCTAACGTTTGCTTTTGCTGCTCTACAGAAGAAGTTGCTGCCCTCGTCATCGACAATGGGTAAGGTTCCTCCCCCGCCATTGTCTCACCGACATCATATCCTCCTCTCTGGCAATCTTGTCTGCGGTCCAGGAGGCATCACTGGAGCCAGCCATGCCGCGCTAGAACAATGATAAATTGCATCTCCAACTCCATCACGCGGCCATCCTTTTGCCCTTCCTGAATCCCAATAGCTGACACCTGTGCAGTTCTGGTATGTGCAAGGCCGGTTTCGCCGGTGATGACGCTCCCCGAGCTGTTTTCCGTGAGTACCCCACTTCTGCTCTCCCCTTACCAACTGCCCACCATAGCTATACGCTTTGGGGCGGTTGGGCGTTCGCGCCACCCGCGACGTTTGCTTCACAATGACAGCTCGCTAACAACGCCAACAGCCTCCATTGTCGGAAGACCCCGTCACCATGGGTAAGTTGTTTCAATCTAGGCTCGCGTATCAGCTGGTTCATTTTCAGTCGTGATTTTTTTGAGGGCGCTGGATCTGACCGAATCTTGTGCGCAGTATCATGATCGGTATGGGTCAGAAGGACTCCTACGTCGGTGATGAGGCTCAGTCCAAGCGTGGTATCTTGACGCTGAGATACCCCATCGAGCACGGTGTTGTCACCAACTGGGACGACATGGAGAAGATCTGGCACCACACCTTCTACAATGAGCTGCGTGTTGCTCCCGAGGAGCACCCCGTCCTGCTCACCGAGGCCCCCATCAACCCCAAGTCCAACCGTGAGAAGATGACCCAGATCGTCTTCGAGACCTTCAACGCCCCCGCCTTCTATGTCTCCATCCAGGCCGTTCTGTCCCTGTACGCTTCCGGTCGTACCACCGGTATCGTGCTCGACTCCGGTGACGGTGTTACCCACGTTGTCCCCATCTACGAGGGTTTCGCTCTTCCTCACGCCATTGCTCGTGTTGACATGGCTGGTCGTGATCTTACCGACTACCTGATGAAGATCCTGGCTGAGCGTGGTTACACCTTCTCCACCACCGCCGAGCGAGAAATCGTTCGTGATATCAAGGAGAAGCTCTGCTACGTCGCCCTCGACTTCGAGCAGGAGATCCAGACCGCTGCCCAGAGCTCCAGCTTGGAGAAGTCCTACGAGCTTCCCGACGGTCAGGTCATCACCATCGGCAACGAGCGATTCCGTGCTCCTGAGGCTCTGTTCCAGCCTTCTGTCCTTGGTCTTGAGAGCGGTGGTATCCACGTCACCACTTTCAACTCCATCATGAAGTGCGATGTCGACGTCCGAAAGGACCTGTACGGCAACATTGTCATGGTATGTTTCCCATCCTTTCACACAGCATCAAGTTTTGTACGGTGGCGCTAATTGCATTCTCTACTCCAGTCTGGTGGTACCACCATGTACCCCGGTCTCTCCGACCGTATGCAGAAGGAGATCACTGCTCTTGCTCCTTCTACCATGAAGGTCAAGATCATTGCTCCTCCCGAGCGAAAGTACTCCGTCTGGATCGGTGGTTCCATTCTGGCCTCCCTGTCCACCTTCCAGCAGATGTGGATCTCCAAGCAGGAGTACGACGAGAGCGGTCCCTCCATCGTCCACCGCAAGTGCTTCTAAGGTAAGCTTTGTTCCCAACGACGAACGCAGATGGCGGCTGCCACATGATTTTCGGAAGACAACGAGCTAACGCGAACTGTTTAGAAGCTACGCGAGGTCAAAGACAATACCTCACATCCTTCGCCAATCAATGCCAAGCTCATGGAGGCGGCGAATCATGCAGTGCTTCCATGGCTTCGCACGTATTGCGATCGAGTCTCATATTTACGAAAAGTTTTTGACAGGGTCAAGGGGGTGGGCGTTGGCTTTTCTCTGATGAGGATACAACGGCTCGTGTATGGCAGCTGGGCTGGATGCGTAACGCGAGTCTAGGGGCTAGAAGCTTAGGTTGATACAAATATTTATTCGCTTTCCGGTCTTAGACATGTTGAATGGAACATTGTGACAATGATTTGTCAGGCGTCCCCGCTTACCAGTATTATGGCACATGCATCTCGTAGTTATATTCGTTTGTATGCAGCCCAACAGGTTCTGTGCAATTGACTGCTATACGCTTCCGCGCTGAGGCTCGTGCCCAGATTGGGTACTGCTACCGGCAGTCGGGTTGCTGGTATGGCTGCTTGTGTCTTGTCTTGTGTCGCTACTCGGCTCGGGAATCTCTATCGGGCTATTTTCAATGTCGGCGGCAGCTTCGGCACCAGCCTTTTCCTCTTCTAACAGCCTGTACTTTCGTCGACTCTTTTTGGATGCGCTGTCTGCCTTCTTCTTCTTTATCGCCCCGACCACCGCTGAGCGGCTCTGGTCGCCATTGATGAATTCGTCAACCCGCTGCGCTAGTATTTCCCGAGCCAGCTTGCGGTTTTGGCTACGGGATCGAGTGGCCTGGGATTTGACGACGATGCCAGTGGGGATGTGCTTTAGTTGGACGGCGGAATTCGTTTTGTTCTAGAGAAGATGTGTAACGTTTTTTAGGCGCTGTTGCTTCCATGGATAATGAAGAGAAGATGGGGGTTTCCTGTACTCCAAAGAGAGTGTACGTACGATCTTTTGGCCGCCGGGGCCGCTGCCTTTGAGGTATGATTCTTCAATCTCGGAATCTGGTGGGGGTTTTGGACGGGGTGGGAGGCTCTTTGAGAGGGCGCCGAGGGTGCTGAAGAAGGGAGGCTTTAGTATGATTCTAGTTGGGAAAGCAATTGAGATGGAGGCTGTGAGGAAAGAATGGGTGAAGCGGAACATGGCTAGAGGAAGAGCGTGTTTATTGTACGGAGACGTGAGGTTGCCGTGATGATGCTCCAAATGAACATACGGCCAAATACGGTGGAGTTTAAGCCACTAAAGTGAGCAACTAGCCTGGGCCGCACTGGTTTCGGCGTGGCTTGTGGCGTGCACCTGCTATAAACAGCGCTGAAAAGCTAGCAGCCAGCACGGAAAGCACATGCGGCGACATCAACCGAGACGTGCAATTTTGGGCCACGCCTTTTTCCCTTTTCATCACCATTCCAACCCAAGACGAAACTTAAGCATCTCTCCGAACAGCACCTTACGATCCGAAGGCAACATCACCAGGCAATAAAAACTACGAAACAACTTTCGCATTGCGACCAGATACAGGCTTCACAGAGGAATTCCGGTATATCTGCTAGGTGGAAGAAAGCATCTCAATTCGACATGGCGTCGCAAAACATCAAGGGCGTGTTGCAGCGGAAGATGCTCCAGATCGATGTGACGTTTGGCACTTATCTGTTTTCGCCAATCGAGAAGTTTGCTTATTGTATGTTGCTTTCCCTGCCCATCACCGCCTCCCTCTTTCTTCGTTCCCTCTCGTCGACGATTCCGCTGTCTCGTGCCCCCCTTTTGGGAATGAACCATGTGGAATGATCGATTCCGGCAATCCCGCCACAACACCATTGCCCAGAATTATCAAAGCACGCTGCTAACAAGAACTTCTTTTTTTCCACGACCTTAGATTCAATCGTCTTCTTGCTCTTCAGCCTGACCTCCATCGCCATAATTCTGTACCTCCCGCATCACATCTCCATTCTGGCCGGCCGCGCGTGGTACTACATCCACGGCGAGACTATTGATATCGCGGCATCCGCGCGGGACGTCCTGGGCAGCGCTCTGGGGGCTGGTAAGGACGCTGGAGCGATTGTCAGGGAGCTGTGAGGTGGAGAAAAAAAAAGACTGATGGGCCGAGGCTCTTATGAAGTTATGGATACGAAATACTGAGACCCCAGAGAGAAGGAACCGATAAGCTACCTGGCGAATTGGACCATTCGACGTAATATGGAGAGTGTGGGGAGAGGCTCTGGGTGATGCAGTTTGTTTCGACGTGTTTTTTTATCCGGCGTTGGGCAGGTCGATTTCTGAGGAAGCCTAATAGAATGGCCAGCCTTCACGGTTTAACGATGGTACATAGATAATAATACGCTCCTAGAAGTACTACGAATTAATAATTGGTAACAATACAACGCTTTACATGGCGATAGAATGTCTGGGCTGTTTATTTTTGACGGAAATGTGAATGTACGGTATTCAATCCAAGTGTATTTTTTGGAGCCTATGATTGTTTCTGCTCCTTGAAGTATTCCTCTCCAAAGCTATACAGCCTCAATGAACTATCCTCTCCTGCAACAGCAAGTTCATACTTGCTTTCCTTTTCTTCCTTGTCTACCGGCCGCCATGCCAGTTGCAGCACCGTCTTGGGAAGAACCAGACTATTCATGATTGTTAGTTGGGAAATCTCGAGCGAGTCACGTTCAAAAAGGGCAAACAACTTACTCAGAAGACGTCGGCAGCTCTGAGACAGAGGAGCCATCTTTAGCCACCATACACAGGCTAACCCGCCCGCTCTCGGTGCCAACCGCGAGGATGTATCTATCTCCGACAGGCTGTGTCAGGAAGTCGACCGACGTGACTGGGCCGTCAGAAGCCAAAGCGGAAACTTGCACGAACTGGGCCTTGGTGTCCTCGCCCTCTGGCTTCGACAGAGACCAGACTCTGATTTGCTTGTCTCGGCCGGCCGTGGCGAACAGAGGAGCCGCGGAAGGAGCCCATGCGGCATCGAGGATCATTCTAGAGTGGCCCTTTGCGTTGGACTGCAGCAGCTGGTATTGGGTGGCGCCGTCTTCTCCGACGCCTCGCTCGAAGACAGCCCATTGGCGATCGCGGCCGACGCTCAGCAGATACTTGTCGTCGGAGGAGAAGCGCAGCCGTGTGGCCGTCAGAGAGTGGGCTGCCAGCGGGGGTCTGAGTTCGGTCCACTTGTCCGTCTCGAAGATGCGGATGACGGCGTGGTTGACGGAGCTGGCCTTGCAGGCGCTGGCTACGAGCTTGCCGTCGTGGCTGGCGGCAAGGCACGAGATTTCGTAGCCGTGGCCGTAGAGCTTCTCCGTTTCGGGCCAGAGGGTGTGCCGGGAGAGGGTTTCTTCAAAGGGCGGATGGTCGATGTCCAGATATGATTTCTTGACGATGGAGGCCGGGTCGATGGCGTCTCGGTCGCGGTCGTCTATGGGTTGGATTTCTTGGTCGTCGTCTAGGGCGTCGATGGCCTTGTTCGAGAGGCCCAGCACGGGCATGTTGGCGGCGTCGGGCATGTCTGCAATGTTTGCTCCGTCGATGCCCCCGAGGCGACTAAGCATGGTGGCCACGGCTTTGGGCTCGCTGAAGACTCTCATGAGCTTCTCGTCAGCGCCAGACACAAACTGGGAGGAGCCCAGCGAGTCGATGCAGTTGAGATCGTAGCCGTGGATCTGAGGGCGAGACATCTCGTGCCATGTACCAGAGCTTTTCCACTTCATGTGAAGTCGAGTCGTCTGATCTGAGCTTGTAGAGAGAAGGAAGCCACCGTCTTTAGACCAGGAGATGCCGGTGACGGCTTTTGTGTGGCCAGAGATGGCAACGCAAGGCCGCCAGATATCTTCCGAGACGTCATACTCCCACCTTCTCCAACTTCCGGTTCTACCCAGGCAGGCCACCGACTTTCCATCAGGAGACCAGAGACCAGTCCAGAAGCCGCCAGTGCTTCCTGTTGCCGTTGTTGCGCCCTTTTCTCTGCTGATCTCTCCAAGCCTCACCATGCTGACCCAAATACCGGAGCTGGGGTCGGCCTCCCAGATAGCCAGCGAATTGTCCGCAGAAGCAGACAGGAGTTGCAGCTTGCCATCGGCATGGGAATGCCACTTTGCGCTGTAAATCCAGTCTTCGTGGCCCAGCAGCAACGCCTCGAACGTAACGGAAAAGTCTTTGCCAGAGGCCTTGAGCCAGTGTGCTTTGTTTGACGGGGATTTTCCCGGCATAAAGGCACCGCTTGATGGGTCTGAGCCTTCGACAGCCAGGGCGGGGAGTTCTTTGCCCTGGTGAACCCTCCAGATTCTGATGTACTTGTCCTGGCTGGCTGATGCAAGAAGCAAATCGCTATCTAGGCTATTGGTTTCCCTTGAAAAGCTTAGGGATCTCAGCCAGCCTTCATGGCCACTGAGCGTTGCCTGAAGCTGGAACTGAATGCTGTCTGCCTTCGCCTCGGCCGTGAGAATCTGGACGACATCCCTCGTGCCGGCTGAGGCGAGAATATAAGCGTCATTATCAGCGCCGAGAGTGCTGAGTGAAAGTGATAGAGGGAAGTATTTTGGCGCTGTGTTGATGGTCTGGACTAGTTGCAGCTGATCATTCTCAAAGCTCCATATCCTAATAGTCGCATCTGCTGCTCCAGTTGCAACAATCCATTTCGGCTGGTCAGCAGCAACTCGCAAGGCGGCAACGCAGTTTATTGGCCCAGTGTGTTCAGTTGCCGTCTGAAGTAGCTTAAAGTCTTGCCTATCATCGGTAGACTTCCAGACAGCTATGGTCTTGTCATCTGAGCCACTGATGAAATACGTCGAGGGGTCATTGTCCAGCTCTGGAAGAAATGACAGGGCCTTGACAGTCTCCTTGTGCCCATTCAAGAGTCTAAATACACCTCTAGGGGGGTTGGCCTAGAGCAGATAACCCGGGTCAGACACATGTCTCTAAAGAGAGAAGAAGAAAAATATATTGGTAAAAGCATGATATCATGGTAAAACTCACAGCTGGGCGCCACAGAGCGATATTGCAATCTGCTCCATAAGCCAGCAGCCCCGTCCGACTCCAGTCTGCAACGGCAGTCTGTCTGTTCGCACCGGCAGCGAGATGCTCTACCGTCAAGTCCTTTGAGCTCATATCACCAAGATGTTTCTGCCCTCTAATGTGTGGACTTGACTGAGACTGAGATTCATCGGCGGAAGATGGATCCACGTGACAAGGTTGTGTGACAAGAACTTTTTTTTTCTGGGTGGTTTTTGGCGCTTGCACGGTACGGGGCTACTAAGGCAGAGCAAAGGCTTCGTGGAATGTTGCACAGCTATAGGGTTGCTGTATTCTGTAATTTGAGTTTGAGGATGATTACATGTAGCTCTTACTTTGAGATGACTATGTAAATTTACTACCTCATAAAATGAATTATCTTGAGCAGATATACAGACATCTGAGTGTACTTGAAACTACTAGTTTGAGACACCACACGACAAGAGTGCCTGTTACAGCTGCTAGAGACATTCTAACAGCACTTCGTTACAGCGCTTGTTGGTCGCTGCAATTTAGGGCTGGTGTCAGACGGGCTAGGCCGGAGCAAGGGCTAATGATACGCCGCGCCTGTCTCCGTCCCGCCTTCCAGTATCAGATCCGTCTGCTAATAGACGCTATCACAACCAACTCTCGATCTCCGTGAACAGTCACAGTCCGCTGGATCGAGCCTCGTCGCAATGGCTTCTACCCCCGACGATGCTGCCGCGCATCTCTCCCTAGACGTGGAGTTTTCGTAAGCCTCCACCTCCCTTTTATGCGCCTAAAGCACTCTTGTCACATATCCTTTTCCCTCCCTCCAGCCGGACCATTGTTGAGACGCCGTGATGGTGATTCTGCTGCCAGCCTCGGCGGATTCTCACCTCCTTTCATTTCCTTATCCGGATATTCATACATGTGAATAGCAGGCTAACCGTGCTATACAGAGGAGGCCTCGAGATGCTCTTCTCGGACCAACGCCAACACTCGCTCACTCTGCCTGCCGAGGACAAGGATGGCAACCCTTCCACCATTGCGTTTTTGATACATCATCTTTGCGAGAATGTCATGAAGGACACGCGTAAGGAGCTTTTTGTCCTGCAGGATCATCTGTATGTCTCATCTCCCTCCTCCACGTGCGTTTGTGTTTGTATCAGTAGCCAGTGTTTGTTGGAGTCCTCCTCCCCCGGTCCTCCTACTTGTTCGGCTATACAGCTGGCACAGTATGAGATTCATGACTCAGGGTTGTTTGTTATGAATGCCTCCTGTACCAACCCTGGCCTATCATAGAGCCTTCACGACGAATGGCGAACAACGACACTTCATTTCATTGCAGCTAGTGGCAAACTTGTGCTAATTTCAACAGACGGCCAGGTATCCTAGTACTCATTAATGATGCGGACTGGGAGCTAGAGGGAGAAGAAGAATATGAGCTGAAGAACGGCGACAATATCCTCTTTGTATCGACCCTGCATGGCGGCTAAAGCCTCAACCTGGGCTTTGGCTTGTCCGTACTGGACGTGTGTCCATTTCTATTGTTAGAGCATCGCCTCCAAAAGCAGTAGTGTACGAAGTACTCCCTGCATGAAATGTGCAGCAGCTGGTGGCTAATTCCACGATGTGACGATGGGTAGCTCAGCTGGGGAGGGCTCAGCTCGCTATGCACCGTACGGCCAACAAATTTTATACCCCCATCCGTCACTGGCTGTCAGGCTTCGCATGAATCGTTGTCGAGATTCGAGGCGTTCTTTCGGCAGCCCCAGTTTTGTCCGCCACCTACACAAATGCGAGGGGTGCAGATCGAGGAGAGGTTCCCTGAGAGATTTGAAAGAGCCGGTCTTTCGATTGACAGACCCCCCTTTGATACCCAATCCTACTGTACGCATTATTTTCTATTCAAACCACGATGCTAGCGTTGTTGTCTCGCTCGCGAAGCTTTCCAAATTCATAAGCGAGGCGCATATTCTAGCTCTAGCAAAGCTGTATGTGCTCGTATACACACACCGTCTTGCTTGTCCCATCCTCTCAAATCACCGTGACCGAGTGTTGAGTCCTATAATCTCTCATCTCTCATCTTGCAACTTGGGTTGTTCATGTGGTCATGGCGGTGAGCTATGTAATGCATATAGTTGTCATCGAGTACTTGTTCGTGCTGATATTTGACAATGCTAGCAAATCACACCTTTGCTACAGCATCCTTGATGCAGCTCTATCAGGTTAACAACTCTTCAGCATTGAGCGGTGAAAACCAAAGGCTGGAGGGCGCCAGCCAAAGAGGTCATGCACCAAAGCACTAGCTGATACTCGGCTGCAACGATGCCTGCGCCAGGTTTTCGACGTGTAATATTCCCGATGGACGTTCATCTTCGGCAATGTGTCGAATGCGTACAACAGAGCTGCATCTACGGGCGCCACCTCCATTTCTCCGTTACTGTATCGTCAGAGTATACGAGCCATGGTCCTGGGAATCCACAACCGCAGCCCTTGGCTCTGGGTTCTCTGTTTCGGTTTGGATGCTGTTGGGCCGCTCAGCGTATTCACCCTCGTCGCCAATGAAAATTTGGGGGCCGTTCTTCGTGCTAGCATGTGCAATCCGAGAAGAGTCGTCCATCCACCGGCCAGCATACAGAACTTGGTGTGGTCGCTTTACAGCCATGTTCCCTGTCGCTATACACACGTGCACACAAATGGCATCTCGTCAGTTGTTTTCACATTGGATCCTCCGACCCCCCCCCCCCCCCCCCCCCCCCCCCCCCCCACCATCTCAGCTGCCTCACTTTTTTTTATATATTATTATTAATATTTTTTATTTCTGCGGCATACCGAGTCTTGCGGGCTTTTGGCTGGGTGTGACCCTTTTTATGGGCTTGGTGACATTCAGACCCAGAACAATGAAGAATGGTCGGCGACCAATCCGGCTATTCCTGTTGGGTCTCCCTTCTCTCGACATTTGCCCATGTCATTATTACAACCATTCTATCACATCCCAATACAACCCAATACAACCCAACAGGTACATTATATGCACTCAGATCCTTCCATCCCAGGTTTCCGACCCCTACCCCTCCCCAGCTCGATGCAGCGAATGAGAGCAATGTTGGGCCTTGGTTCCATTCTCTCAGGTTCAGCCGCTCGAGGGGTTTCCAGCAAGAAAACCCACCCGTGCGCCCGCAGACAGCAGGGGGGTGCTACAAAGGACAGTAGGTCTTTGGGTGCGCGACGCAGTTTTAGCTGCGTTTCTTTTCATTTTTGTCCAATCTATTAGTTATTCCCTAGCCTCTGCGGCTGAGATGAGGGACTCTTTTAAGGATCTGACTGGGGAGTTAGATCCGGGTTGCTGGGACTCGTATGGGTGTGCTCTGGATCACACTGCGCGATTAGTTGAGCACTCATGCTAATAACGAGAACGATGCGAGACATGCGATAAAATAATCATAATGATGATACTGCATGTTGATGATACTGCATGTCTCAGTCTTCCCAAGAAGGTAGGTAATATGAGATAAAGACGCAAGGAACTCGAGTCCAGCTCGTCAACAAACGAGCTCCTCAAATCGAGAGAACGTGAGCTCTCTCTCCCCTACAGGAAGATCTACCTATCAAACCACAGCTACACGCTCCCCCCCCCCGTATTCTACGCCTTGCGCCTCGCCAAGTCGCCACGTCGAATGCAAGGGGAGCAAACCGGATTTCTCCAGCAGTTCCCACGATTGTTACAGATCACTCCGCATGGCCGAAAAAGGTGATGCGATGCGTGGGTTCGTATATCGATGTGATATCCCCTCCATCCCCAACACACACACCCCCGGATTTGTGTAGGGAATGCAAGGATGGGCGTGTCGTCTCATCTCGATTGGAACTAGGAACGCCGGGAAGGCATCCCGTGACATGCACCCCCAGCCTGAAGATACAACCGCAGCGTTGCCATTAGCTCGGCGACATCATCCCTGTAGGTACTTTCTTCTGTATCATAATGAAGGGACAAGCATCACCACGTCGAAGGTACCAAAAGAGGGTAAAAAATGAGAAGCTGCCTGCCCAGTATGTTGTCATGTTTCAAGCCAGAGCGTTTCTAGAATGACAATTTCATAAGAAAATACACAATGAAATAAACAAAACAAGTAAATAAAAATTGACCAAAACTTGTGCTGCAAAAAGAAGTCCACCGTTGTTTCCTTCTATGACTGCCCTCTTCTTGCGAAGAGGCATACCCAGTACCTCACCATATCATCACAGGCCCATCCATGAAACATCCAATGCCAATATCAAATCCAAGTACTAAATTGAAGACAAAGCAAAGCCCCTCACCAACAATATGTGTATATGCCCACGAGGTTGATGCCTCGTAACGTAGCGAAAACACACACATACACACACACACACACACACACACACACACCCAAAAAACAAAAACAAAAAAACCTCCTTTGAGCGAGAACCGAAAAAAGAGAAGAAGAAGAAGAAGAAGAAGAAGAAAAGACAAAACAAAAGCCTCCCAAACGATAGCAATGTATAGTGATACATTGCAAAGGTATCTGCGTGGCCGACAAATTCAAAATACCTTTCCCAATCTCTTACAGAAAACGCTTCAAGCCATCCTAAAGCTTGATTTTATCCATATAACCCTAATTCCAACAGTTGGTTGCGCCACAAAACAACTCGAAGCTGCTGTTGTGCTGCCGCCAACATCTGTGCCGACTTTTGTTGTTGTTCTATATCAGACTAATCCACCCAATGCAGATCCGTAATATATATATGTTTTATACATATATTACACAAAATATTTCTTTTTTGCCGTATATAACGGTAATAATGTTGTATCCCTTGTTTGTACCATTGTTCGAGCGCCGATCATTGGAATCGTATCCTTATTCTTGGTAGCAGTTGTCTCTTAGCTGTATCGTAAAATCATCATAATAAAACGAAATATCACGTTTTAATGATTCTTGGTATAGGCGTTTTCAGGTCCCCATTTGGAGAGACCCATCTCGTAGATGGTCGGAGGAGATGTTGGTCCATAGTGATCAAAAGACGCAATGGGATTGCGCAGCACAAGGTTCAAAGTACTGACGGATCCCTGAGGTGTGACGTATGGTGGAGGTCTACCATGGGGCATCCTTAGGTCTTGAGCTGGCATAACCATCTGAGCCATCTGGACTGTAGCAGGAGTCTTGGGTTGTGTAGTTACCGGAGACTTAGCATTTCCATAAGCAGCATCTTGAGGCCCGCGAGCGGCCACGGCGCGAGTCTTGCCTCGGCCCTTTATCCCTTTGTTGCTATTCTTGTAGTGCTGCTGAAAGTATTCGAACAGGTCGTGGTAGTTGTCAGGCACCTCGCTACTCTCAGAGAATTGCGCAAACATCTGGGTGAGTTTTTGGAGCGTTGATTTGTGAAAGTTGTTTTGGTGAGTCTATAAATCCCATTTGTTAGACTGGCCTATTGATGTATAAATCGTCCTAGATTGCCCACCTTCATGTTGCCCAGCTGGGAAAACGATTTATTGCAATCGTCAAGTCGGCAAATAAACGGCTTGAGACCCTTATGAGTCTCTTCATGAGAGCGAAGATTTCCTCTCTGAGCAAAGGATTTGCCGCATTTTTTACAAGCGAATGGCTTTTCGCCCGTATGACGGCGTATGTGAGTCTATAAAAGTACGAGTTAGTATGAAAGCAACTGGAGAGGGATTCGCGGGTAGTGTTTACTTTGAGATTTCCGCGCTGCGAAAAAGTAAGACCACAGTTTGGCTTGTCGCAGACCTATACACTATTAGTCATATTGCGTTTGAAGAGGGAGTTAGGCACATACGTATGGCCTTTGGCCGGTGTGAGTACGCCGATGAATATCGCGGTGGGTTTTCTGGACAAAGGCTTTGCCACAGTTGGGTCCGTCACAGAACCACAGCTTTTTAGGCTTCCCACCTTGAGTGCGGAGTACGGGGGCATCCGATGCACCAGCTTTTGGTGTCTGCACAGGTGTGAGAGTTTGCTGACACTCATCGGTAGTCTGTGTCTTCTGAATGGCTTTCATGAGCTCGTCAACTTCGGTTCTGAAGTCGATTTTGTCGGCTGGACGAATCGTCTCATTATAAATAAGGGTCTTGGAGTTGATGACTTGACTCGCAACCAAGGGGGCTGGAGTGGCAGGGCTTAGAGAGTCAGGACTCGAAGCGGCAGAGCTGGGAGTGCCGGGGCCCGTAGAAGACCTGGTAGCAGTCGAGGAAACTGATCCCCTCCTCGATATAGGAGAGTAAGGTTGATAACCTCTCATTGGCTGGGAATAGCGTCGATCGACCGTAGGGTTTGTCATACGAGCAAGTTGATGCTCGGGAAATTCGGTCTTGAACGGAGAACCAAGTGGTGTTGATGGCGGCGGACTCTGATATGCCATGTAGGAAAATGCGCTAGGATGTTGGTACTGAGGAGACGAGTCGGTTGGCATTGGGGGCTGGTTATAATTCGAGTCCATCAGGTACTGGGAAGACATCTGGCGCTGCATCTGACTGCTAGCTTGGACTCTAGGGTCATATGGCATGAATTCAGATGAGCTCATAATGGGAAAACTTTGTGGAATCTGCTGAGGCCAACGAGTCCAGTTGCCCTGGGTCTGCTGTTGAGCTGCGAGAGCCATGTTTGCAGGCCGGTATCTGTTCCCACACTACAAGTTTGATAAGGGCTGATCAAACCGAGGAAGCTGAGGGGACGAAAGATACAAGCGTCTTGGAAAGACTAAAGTAGTTGAAGGGACGATGGCAGGTATTGATGAGAATCCTCCACCATAAAAGCTTATTGTAGCCGATCAATAGGCCAAGATAAAGAATAAGGGTCTCTGTCTAGGAGATAGGAGAAGTAGAGGGCGTTCTGGAAGGCGGTGGTGGAGGGGGTTATATACTGGGGACCTGGGTTGGGGAGATCTTGGGAGAGTGATATGATATATAATTGGCATGAGAAGCAATCTACCAGGCAAGTGGGTTACTGGGGTTGTGTGGAAGCCCAATCGCCTGGTACTGTGAGCCGGAGATCTTGGGCGGACATGTATGTAGCCATATTCGAGATGTGACTGGGACCTAGTCTCTGGGATGGGGCAAGAAGCCAGGCACACAGCATGTTTTCAGTTCCCTACAAGGGTGAGCGGAAAGAAAAGGCTAAGGCCAAAGCTGCAGAGACGATTCAAGTGCAAAAGTTGACAAGTGATGAGCATCAAGTACCGATAGAGTGCAGGTATATGCGGGCTTTGCGCCGGGAAGACGGGTAAGAGCAAGCCAAAGCAGTACCTAGGCGACTAGGACTTGTTCACACGCCCCCTTCTAAAATGGAAGCTAAAACAGGATCCCCCGTTTAGCTGAGTGATGAGATGCAAAAGTTGGAGGAGAGGGGAGAGGGGTGTGTCAAGGCAGGACAGGGTTGGAATGGGGGCCCAAGACTGAGCCTTTTGAGGGCTAGCGAAGCAAGGCCATGATTCTGCCAACTTGGAGCAAGCAACAGAGAACCAGAAGAGATGACAGAGAGCAGCCGAACAAGGGGGCTCGTAAAGGGAAGAGAGAATAGAGAGGCTATGTTTGGTACCAGGGTGTTGGTTCGTCCTCACAGGACTCTTGCCTCCTTGCCAACCAGGATAGTGGCATCGCCGGCGGGCTCCTCACATCGGGCCAAATACAGCACAGGCAAATGGAGTTTTCCGCAGCAACGTGACCTGTGTACGAAGCGCTTCATATGAGCATATCCACAGTCGCTTAAGCTTCCTAGCAGTAAGGCTCGGACCCTTGGCACGGGCTCTCAGTTGGACCTGTACGAGTACTGCGGCTCTCACACACGCAGCAGTAGATTTTCGGCACGCAGTAGGCCTCGGGTAAAGCGATAGTCGCATGTATGTCTGAAGAAGACGGCAGCTGGCCGGATGCAATAGTCCGTCGCTTCTGTGTAAGCCGAGACATGTCGAGACGGCGAGTTGGCCACTTGCTGTGGGTGATGTGAGTTCTCGACTGCAATTGCAAACTGCCACTGGTTATCCGCCCATTGCCACCGGGAGAGGAGGGGAGATGGTGAGACTAGCTGGGGGAGGGTTCTCAACGTGTGGGTGTGAAGTCTTCTGGGTCCCAACTTGATGATGCCCACGGAGCCGTGGGGGTTAGAGCAAGAAGCTCCCAGGCGGACAGAAGGACAGGCAAGTGTTGGATCCAGGCGTTGAAAACATACCGACTGTCGTTTGAGATGCGGCTGCTTCATGATTCGCTTTTGCACACAGTTTTCTTCCCTTTTTCCTTCCCTTTTTCTTCTGTTTTCTCTCTTCCTTTTTTTTTTCTCCAGAAAGTTGATTCTGCGAACCGCGGGTCTCCCAGAAAGAGGGCGAAGCTGCCCGGGTTCGAGCTTTGAAGTGGGATGAAGAGGAGAGGCGGTTGTCCAACAGGGGGGTTTTGCAAGGACTGGAAATGACCAGTGGAGAGCAGACGCGGGAGTGCGCGTAGAGGCTTAGAGGGGGTGGCTTGAGAGCTGCAATATCTGATTTGACGGGTTGAGCGTCCACGGCAGGTGCGCTGGGCGTTGGCGTAGCGCGGGTGCAGGTGCGACCTGGAGGCGGTGGGTTGAGCAACCGCGAGGGGTCATTGTACCATTTCGGGAGGCCAGGGGATCCCTGAGATGACAGCCTATCTAGGGGCTAAAAACAACGAGAGAGCGACATGGAAATCCTGCCATCTACGGGGTATTTACATACTCGTACGGTACATGTGAAAATTGCAACAGTAAGGTAGGACTGTACTCGTACAGTAACGGTATGACTGGAGCCCAATCCACCTGAGCACAGGTACCAAGGCATTGTGCAAAGGGGCGTTGAGGTGTATTGGCAGTGAGGTCGGTAGGTAGGGAGTATTGAAGAGCACATCCATGAATTGGTTTTGAATATTACATGTTACTTGGACAGATAGTGGTCGTGGAGATTACGTCGGCGCCTAAGAAAGAAAAGCAGTCCCAGTAGGCAGCTGAAGATGATTCTTTGCCTGTCTTCTACCAGGGACTCCATGAGTGCCTATATAGTACTAACGGATCCATGCTTCGTACCGCCTAAACCTGCCTGTACATCTATAGATGTAAGAACTTTGCCAATATCAATATCATCCTCGTCCTTGCTTAATTCCACACTTGAAAATCAGCCGCATACCCAGGCAAGCCAACATATACATGTATACATACCGTCGCTGTTGACTGCAGCTCGCGGCCATGAGTTTGAAGCCGTCAGTCAACATACATGCTCCGATTCAGCACCATGAAGACGACGAAAGCAGCTACCCAGATCTATCTCAAGTCATTTGGAGCGCAAGACATTGGATGCGCCTTGCACGTACCGGCCCTAAAGGCGGAGCCGGTGATCGTCTACTAGTGGCGCGGCAAGCTTCCAGCTCGGTTGCCGCTCAGGAAAAAGCTGGAGGCGTATTTCGCACAGCCATTTCCCAGGGGACCAAGATGCAACTACTGTACTGTATTATTACCGTCGAGCACTTCGTGACACTGCCAAGGAAACTACCTTAACCTAATGTCATCAAAGTATGCCTGTACCCCCCGTGCCTGTGCGTGTGTCCTGACCCGTGAGCCCTGGATGGTCGGCCGTCCAGTGATCCCGCTCCGGGCGGATTTAACCGGCGGACCCCCCAATTGCCGGAGGGCTTCATCTCGCATTTTGGACGTATTGATGAGGAGGGGACAGATGTTGTATTGTCATTGTCATGGAAAGCCAACAAGCGCCTTGGTCTAGGTGGATAAGGCCGTCTTGCCAAAGTTCCCAGCTCATGTACCTAGCGGTGTTCGGTACATGTCCGTACCATGCACGTGAAGCAACTGCTGGGATTGAAACCAAGAGCCTACCATCTGTCTCGAGGGCAACCCGCAGCAGTCCGGATTGGGTAATATTTGGCAAATTCTCGTGTTTGATTCGTCCACGGCCTCTTGATGACCACTTTGGGCTAGGGTTCTTTTCTCAATCTTTCTGGCATAGTTTCTTCACACCCTCCCCCCCTCACTCGACTTCTAGCTCCAACACCCAAGAGCCCACGGATGTCCAGTCATGGCCATCAGCGTTTCGCTTCATGCACGTACGGGAAGCACTTCAGATTCATTGCAGGCGCCACATCCTATCCCCCAAGATGAGCGTATTTGCCAGTACGGGTACCAGCGTCCTGTATGAGTATTAGGTACAGTAACGGTGCATGCTTCTCACTCCAAACCGTAATAACCATGCGTGCAATGTTGGGTGCGAAGCATGCCCACCGTCATTTCGGGTTGTCAATGAAAAGCCTCGTCACCTTTCATCATCGTCGGCATACGAGTACCTGTATTGGCTGGATGTGCCCGGGCTGGTGGATGCCACTTTTACATTACTCCGCACTCCGTACACAATTCCGGATGTCCTCACGCTGCGACAACCTGAATTGTACGTCGTACTGTACGAGTACGTGTATTGACTATTAATAGAAATCCATCGCCATAATTTCACAGCGATATTATCCCTTTTATTACACACGCAGGGAGGGCCCAAACGAGGCACCAAGCTAGATATGCCTCCGTGTGCATCTCGCTCAGAGTGCCAAGTGCCGGACACACAAACTAACGCGTTCGTTTATGCGACACGCACAATCTCACGAGGGTTGCACAAAGTCGTGGTGACCAGCGAGCAAGGGGACAGGCAGGAGTTCCGATTTCTTGGGACACGATCAATCTGTGAACATCACCCAACGCCAGGGGTGTCCGTGACAAGGGTGCAGAGATCCTAGCCAGGGGATTGCACCCGGTTGGCCAGCCATGTCACGAGGCGTGCCTCTTCAAACCAAGGGTGGGAGAGAACCCATACAAGTACGTACTCGTACTCCGTCCACACCGTGTGCGGTAGCAGTCGTTGTCATTTCTGAGCAATGTGCCTCATCCACGTCCCGCAAAGGCGCTGCCGCAGTAGCTCAGTTACAGAGCGGCTTCGTGGCCATGATACCCCGAGTGAGCAACATGACTGCATCTGCAAGGGCACATGCAAGGACCAAGGCTCCTTTGGCTCTCTGCTTTTCAGCTTGTTTGGTCTTGCGGATCAGAGGGTGAAGCAGAGCATGGGGCTCTGTTTTCAGTTTTCTCTAACAGCTCGATTTTGTCCAGTTACTGTTACAAGCGCGCTGATTTGTTCGTTAGGACGGTACGTATAGGGCCTGGTATTGCTGCGGTGGCGATGAGAAAAGGGGGGAGTCGTCCTTCTCCTTGTTGAGAGTGGCCAACTCGCAAGGTTGCCAAGTAATAATAGCGACATCAAAGACTCTGGGATGTTCTTTCCACCGCACTCACCTGCTGCCGCAGCGAGGAGAGCCGGTTTTTTTTTTTTCTTTCTCTCGCCAGCCTGAGGTGCCACTCAAAATAAGCCGAACGTTGTCAAGCACGGTTCACAAAGTGCCTATGGCAGCCATGATTCCCTGAAAGATGACTTCCATCCGAGCTTTGTTAGTGCAGAGCATGCTCGGAGCTTATGCCCAAGCCAGTAGACAGCAGGTCTATGGTGGCGTCCAAATGAAGAGCTGCGACCTAGGGGCAAAGCAACAAGACGTTGCAACAGTCGCTCCCAGCAAGTACGGAAGACCAGGAGCAGTACCTGGTCAGTGTCCTCCGTTTAGACGAATGCAAAACTCCGACCTGTTGTGCTGTAGTCTGATATTCAATGGCCCCTTTTCTTTTTCTTCTCCAGGGTGAGGCCGCTGATTGGATGCTGCCTCACCTGCTTCGAGGCGGACAGTGCGTGTTGTTATGTGACAAACGGCGTATCATACCCACTGCCAGCATTCCCAACGTAGATGAGGTTTGATCTTCCAAAAATGAGAAATGGTCCAATAGGACCAGCGAATCAAGCAGTTAAAATGAGAGTAAAAGCCGCTCCAACACCGGAGGCAAGCAGCGATGGAGCCGCAGCGACAATTCTAAGTGGCCTCTGATATCTCTTGCTGATAGGGCGTCTACTAAAGCTTTGATGAGTCTAACACTGTAGCTACAAGCTGATTAGGTTGCTCCAGAATATTTCTGCTACCTGTTTGTCCTACTGAATTCGTTATCAGATATCGCGTGCATGTGTACTCGTATATACATGCATGTCCGTGCTGACTTGATGACAAGGACATTGAGTAGACGCATGCTGTATTACGCACGTGCACGCCCTCTACCTCAACCTCCCAGCTCGTTATAAGCAGTATTATGTTCTCTTCTCTCGCCGCAACTTCCAGCCTGGCAAGATTATTTTCCCAAGTCACCCCCCTCCTCCTTAACAAGACTTGCGGCATAGACGCTTCAGCTTCAGCCGCTCCTACAGTGACACTGAATATGGGTATGGCTATGCTGCAGGTCACGCACTGAAGAAAAATGCGACATGCCAGCCGGGTGCCCGAATCAACAGGGCTGTCAAGACTGCATATACCCATATTGTGTTACGCAGGGTTACAACGTTGGGTCTGGAGGATGAGCGGTCCCTGTTCCCGAGTTCCGAAGGCTGGAGGATCCCCCTTTGTTGTTGCTGAACCAGTTTCACGACGTCTGTCCATCCCACAATTTGTTTTTGCTAGCAACAACGGGGCATTCCCTGCAACGTCAATGTTATTATGTCCTATTATGCCCTACAGGGTAGTGGGTGCCAATGACTAGTAGCTACAGCCAGACAGCTAGAAGCACTTTGAGATGCTACATAAGATATAAAGCATACATGTAATCAATATGCGTGTAGCTTAGACTACTATAAGGCAGACCGCATCGCTACTGCGTCTATCTCTAGCCGCCGGCACTGACTGGACTGGATTCACAAGTGAGGCCAGCTCCCCAAAAAAAAAAGTACAGCATGGAAAGCAGCTTCAAAGCCGGTTACTACTCTAGAAAAGGGCATTATCTGGAGGGTGACGAGGACTCGCACATGCAGTAAGGAGCAAGATCAAGGCCCCTCATCCCGCTTGCAAAATCTGACTTATCGCCTGCAGCTGAGCCACAGAAATAGGTGACTGCTACTCTTTTCGTAATCCGCCTGTTTCAAGAAGTTCATTGGATTGCTCTCGTCTTCTTTGCTTTGGCTGTGTCGGCCCACGGAGGTGTGTTGGTCTCAGGTCTACTTGTACGTCCCCGCTCGGCCGCACTGACGGAATGATTGACTGATCTACCCGCTAGACACGAAACCATTTAGCTGCAAATCCCGCACAAGTGAGGCTGTCTCACATGGTTGGACGGTACGCACTGACTGCTCTGCATCAATCTCGCATTGAAATGCGGCAGACATAGTGAGGGCGGAAACATACATCATCGTCATTCATCGTCATCGACTCCTCCTCCTTAGAGCCGCCTATTCGTCTACAAATAAGACAATACTCGGTACATGTCTCATTACGGTCTGTATGGGCACAATGGTTGAATGAGCACAATGGGCTCCCCGTTAATCTCCTTCCGTTCCCGTTTTCAAATTCGTTGTGGCTCTCGGTTGTGCGCCTCATTTCGAAGTACACATGACACAGGCCACAAGATGATATCACCTGTGCTGGTGACTAACAGCGAGCCGTACCCTCGGGTCAAAGGCTGCCGAGCTAACAGCATGATGGCACGGGTGTTGCTGGATCCGAGACAAAGAAAATTGAATTAGGAGAGACAACAGTGCTTTACCAAGGATAGTTTAGAGCAGCAGAGCACCAGCACCGGGGAGATGAGGCTCTCTCATCCGGGCACCACTAGCAGTAACCGATTCTTTGGTTCAGGAAGCTAGACCAACTACCTAGACGGAGTTACATGACGGCAGCCCAACCTCCTGCAGCTGCGAGGATTCGAGCA